GGTGCTGTGCTGGGAGCTGCTCAGCCTGAGGGTGCTGCGTCTGGAGCTGCTGAGCCTGGGGTTTCTCCTGCTGCTGCGTCTCGCCGGGAGCCCCTCTCTCCACAGAAGCTGCGCGAGTGGTTCGCTCGCCGCTGGAGGCGTGCTGCTGCGTCTGGAGGTGCTGCTGGAGCTGGAGCTGGAGCTTCTTCGACCGTCGAGGGTGCGGGTGCTGCCGGTCCCGGAGCTGCTGGACTTGCGGGTCCTCCTGGAGCTGGAGCTGCTGAGGGCGTTGGTGCTGAGCCTACTGCTGTTGGTCCTGCCGCTGGAGGTGTGGGTGGCGCTGGTGCTGTCGCTGAGGGTGCTGGTGCTGTCCCTGCTGAGTCTGGAGCTGCCGCGCGGCCTCGGCCGTACTTCGTTCCGCTCCTGCAGCAGGTTCTTGGTCTTTCTCCTCTTGTAGAGGGTCCACCGCCTGTCCAGTCGCAGTCCCTGCTGGAGCCTTCCTCTCCACTGCCTGCTCCCTCTCCTTACACTGGTCCTACTGGAGGTCTTGCTGAGCGTCGTGAGCCTGCGTCTCGTCCCGCGTCGCCTGTTCGTGCTGCTCGCGCTAGTGATCGCAGTTCGCGTCAGCGTACTCCTCCTGTCCCTGGCACGCACCGGATGTCTTTGCGTCCGTCCACTGCTCCTCTGCGTGCCCCTTTGCCTTCTCCTCCTGAGTCCTCTCTTCCTGCGCTTGCCGACCCTGAGTCGGACTCTCTTCGTGCTGCCAGTCCTACTGTCACGCGTCTCCTTGCTACTGTCGTCACTGACCCCTCGTTTGAGTCCACTGCTGCGTCTGCCCTTGTCTCTGAGCTCGTCGACTTTGCTGCTCGCTGTCGTCTCGACTACGCTGCTAGTCTTGTTGCTGAGTCTGCGTCTGTCTATCCTCCGTCCGTCGGGGGTGAGTGTGCTCTTGGCACGGACATCCTAGAGGACAGGCAGGAGGAGTTACAGTGTCTAGCGGCTGCTTCACCTCATCTCGCGTCTGTACTGCTTGCCCCTGAGGCAGACCCGGATGCACTAGACATCCCGACTCCGCGTTCTTACGCGGAGGCCGTAGAGGGTCCCTACTCCTCTCAGTGGCAGGCAGCTATGGATGCAGAGATGGCTTCCTGGAAGTCCACAGGCACCTACGTTGACGCGGTTCCCCCTCCTGGGGCGAACATCGTCAGTGGCATGTGGATCTTCAGGGTGAAGCGCCCGCCGGGCTCTCCACCTGTCTTCAAGGCACGGTACGTTGCTCGTGGCTTCAGTCAGCGGCAGGGAGTTGACTACTTTCAGACCTTCTCTCCCACCCCGAAGATGACTACTCTTCGGGTGCTGCTGCACATAGCCGCTCAGCGCGACTACGAGCTTCACTCTCTCGACTTCAGCACTGCGTTCTTGCAGGGTAGCCTGCACGAGGAGATCTGGCTTCGCCGTCCACGTGGCTTCACTGGGACTTTCCCTCCTGGCACCCAGTGGAGCCTCCGACGGCCAGTCTACGGTCTCCGCCAGGCACCGCGTGAGTGGCACGACACACTGAGGACTACACTTGCGGCTCTTGGGTTTGCTCCTTCTACTGCTGACCCGTCGCTGTTTCTTCGCACCGACACTTCCCTGCCGCCGTTCTACATCCTCGTGTACGTCGACGACTTGGTCTTTGCCACAGCGGACACTGCTGGACTCGCCTACGTGAAGTCCGAGCTGCTAAAGAGACACACGTGCACAGACCTGGGTGAACTGCGCAGCTACCTTGGCTTGCAGATCACTCGGGACAGAGCACGCCGCACCATTACCTTGACTCAGTCACACATGGTGCAGCAGGTCCTTCAGCGCTTCGGCTTCTCGTACTCCTCGCCTCAGGCCACTCCTCTGCCTACTCGCCACTCACTCTCAGCTCTGCCTTCGGATGAGTCCGTAGAGTCGAGTGGTCCGTATGCAGAGCTTGTTGGCTGCCTCATGTACCTGATGACCTGCACACGACCTGACCTTGCATACCCTCTGAGCATTCTTGCACGCTATGTTGCTCCTGGGAGACATAGACCGGAGCACATGGCTGCAGCGAAGAGGGTATTGCGCTACTTGTGCAGTACGTCGGGCATGGGGCTAGTGCTTGGAGGGCGGAGTCCAGTGGTCCTTACCGGCCACGCGGACGCTTCTTGGGCTGACGACCAGGCTACGCAGCGGTCGTCACAGGGTTACACCTTCAGCCTTGGTTCCGGCTCTGTCTCGTGGCGGTCTACTCGCTCGTCTTCAGTTCTCGGCTCCAGTTGTGAGGCTGAGATCTACGCCGGGGCCATGGCTGCACAGGAGCTTCGCTGGCTCACCTACCTGCTGACTGACCTTGGAGAGCCGCCTCGTTCTCCTCCAGTGCTGTACGTAGACAACAAGGCCATGCTGGCCTTGTGTCGAGAGCAGCGCTTGGAGCACAGAACGAAGCACATTGCTCTCCGCTACTTCCTTGCTCGTGAGCTGCAGCAGCGTGGTCAGTTGGGACTGGCGTACGTGGCCTCTGAGGCCAACACTGCTGATGTGTTCACCAAGGCACTCGCGCCTTGTGACCATCAGCGCTTTTGCACCCAGCTGGGTCTTGTACCTGTCTTGCCTCACTTGCTCTCCTCTTGACTTCACTTGTACTGTGACATATATATATACCTGCTCTTGCTTGTCTAGTTTTATATATATGTCTGTACTCCTGCATGTGAACTGGCCTCTGGCCCTGCTCTTGTGCTCGGACTGTGTGGTGACATTGTGATCCACCCTGAGCTTGCTTTGCTTTGCTTTGCTTGACTGGTCTTGTGACCCCTTGTTCTCCCCCACTTTGCCTATGGGGGTGTGTCAGATATATATGACATAGCTGTTGTAGGCTATAGTGGGGTAGCACATATGGGGTACAGCTCTCTAGGGTTTGCATTTGTACCCAACTTTGACTTAGTCATTTCATTCCTGTTCACTTGTTTCACAAATATATCGCCCTCTGCTCAGCCACCAAGGAAGGACTCTACCTTCGCGAACTGCTGGAAGAAGCAAATCTAGCTGAGTTACCCAGCTTCACCCTGCACTGCGACAACCAATCTGCAATTCGCATCGCCAACAAAAACGGATTCGCGAACAGAACGAAGCATATCGCTCTGCGATACTTCTTCGTGAAAGACGAGATCGGGAAAGGAAGACTCGAGTTATCCTACTGTCCCACGTCCGAGATGGCAGCCGACTATTTGACCAAGAAGCTCGGAAAACAGAAGTTCGAGTACTGCATGCTGCTGACTGGACAAAGCCACGTCACCATCAGCGACACTCCAGAAGCGAAGGGGAGTGTTGGGAACAATAAGTCTTAAAGCGCCTCTGTCGTGTCGAAACTCATGACTCAAAGCGAAGCAGTCAGAATCGAAGCATTGCGAGTCAACCCTCGGAGGTTGGAAGTAACCGCCAGGAGGTTACACGAAGGTCAAAGGTCAGCGACTTTTGACTTGACCAATACAGCGCGACAGCAAGGACAAACAACTGACTCGACATTGAGCAGTTGCCCGAGTCGCACTGTATCGAACCGCAACAGTAAAAGCAGTTATAATGTCTCTTCATATTCTCTGTACTCATCTATTTATATTCTTGTATCTCTTTGCTTTAATTAACTTACTTTGCCCTCACATACCAGTGCAAGGTGGTTCAAGATATCTTACTCAAACGCTTCCGCTATTACAATCCTACTCAGTCTTTAACTCTACAAGGATCCTAGGGCTTCTCAGCCCAACAATCTGGACGTACAACATTGTACGATTTGCCTTATCTGATCCACTGTTTTCACTGGCATCTAGACAGGCTGCGGGTTACAGTTGTCAGGGGTACGCGGTGTATGTGTCGGAAGGTTGATGAGAGGTGTACGTGTGATATAGGAAAGGGTTGACACTTGGTTTTTACTTCAAAATTTATCGATTGTGTGAGTTATGCATGGAAGGAACCGATATACACACTCTTGTTCAAAATTTCATAAGAACGATGAATGCATTGGAGAGGATTAGGGCTACATGTGAAATGGGATGGCTTGGACTGGGTCGAGGCAACACACTGGTCATTCATTGTTTACAAAGCAAAACATTTGCTATTATGTTTGTTTCCTTCACCACCTGGGGCAGTAACTCTCACATCTCCCAAGAAACCCAATGCTAAGGGGTCACACACATGTTAGACACGAGGCATGAGCAAGGGCTGGGCCCTGGACAACCCTTAATGGGCCCTGGAAACCCCCCCCCCCCCCCCCCCCCCCCCCCCCCCCCCCCCCACCCACCCACCCAACTCCCCCCCTTTCCCCCTCTCCCACCCCCCTTTTGGTCCATCGCAGATTCTTTATTGAGCAGGAGTGTGATTACAGCAGCAGGAGTGCGGTTACAGCAGCAGGAGTGCGGCTACAGCAGCAGTAGTGCGGTTACAGCAGCAGGAGTGTGGTTACAGCAGCAGGAGCGTGGTTACAGCAGCAGGAGCGTGGTTACAGCAGCAGGAGTGCGGTTACAGCAGCAGGAGTGCGGTTACAGCAGCAGGAGTGTGATAACAGCAGCAGGAGTGTGATAACAGCAGCAGGAGTGTGATAACAGCAGCAGGAGTGTGATAACAGCAGCAGGAGTGTGATAACAGCAGCAGGAGTGTGATAACAGCAGCAGGAGTGCAGCTACAGCAGCAGGAGTGCAGCTACAGCAGCAGGAATGCGGTTACAGCAGCAGGAGTGCAGCTACAGCAGCAGGAGTGTGATAACAGCAGCAGGAGTGCGGTTACAGCAGCAGGAGTGCAGCTACAGCAGCAGGAGTGCAGCTACAGCAGCAGGAGTGCAGCTACAGCAGCAGGAGTACAGCTACAGCAGCAGGAGTGCAGATACAGCAGCAGGAGTGCAGCTACAGCAGCAGGAGTGCGGTTACAGCAGCAGGAGTGCGGTTACAGCAGCAGGAGTGCAGCTACAGCAGCAGGAGTGCGGTTACAGCAGCAGGAGTGCAGCTACAGCAGCAGGAGTGCAGTTACAGCAGCAGGAGTGCAACGAGGGCCAGACCAATGGAGGCAAGCAGGTGGAAGATGGACGCAGTGGCTCCTGCAGGAGAATGGGAGAACGCGGAGCAGGATGTTAGGGCATCACATGCAACTTGCACGATAATTGAATTATTAAGTGGCGTGACGTACGAGAAACTTGAAGTTTGACTTGTTCAAATCACTCAAATCCACCATTAGTGCGTGTGCGTGTGCACGTGCGGGTGGGTGTGGGTGTGTGGTGTGCGTGCGTTTCTGCATGTCTACGTACCTGCATACGCGCTTAGAGCCTCCATGTTATAAGGGAGAAGCAACGCATTGCTCCGATACACCACGACTTCGCTCTCTGGAGAATTATATACAATGCGTTCAGTACTCCCCACCGTGTATGCAAACGGGCTCCCATCAGGTTCCACATAGCGCTGCGAGCCTACTCGAGGCAGCGGAGAGGTGGCATGCTGCTGAGGAGACATGCCGGATATGTTCCACATGCCGCCATTCATAGGAGAGATGTACGTCATCCAGAGCGGTTGCCCCTCGAGGGTTGGAAGTTCCCACGGCCCGCCAGATGAGTACTGCTTGTAGGGGGGGGGGTTGGGGAGGGGGGGGGGGGGGGGGGGGGGGGGGGGGGGTCACGAGCGGTGAGGATGGAGACAGGAGATGGATAACAACTGAATTCTAAAATGTGTAATAATAATAATAATAATAAAAAGCGGGCCTAGCTCTTCTCCAACTCACGGATGGAGTGACGAGAACTGACGTTTTTTGAGCTCTCATATATGAGGATCTAGTACTGAAAATCCCTGAGATTGGCCGTTTGGAAATGGTTTTCCAGTGGAGATCCTCCCTCCCTCTAAGGAAAGAGGCCTAGCTTGTCTATGCGACGCTGAAACACCGCAAATTTGCACGTTCTGGATGTTCTTGATGCGTAAATACAACGGTCCACTGCGATCAACGGTCCTGATGCGGCGGTCCAGGCAAGCTAATCGTTGACTTCAATATCAGATGCTCACCTTCTGCTCCACGACGGAGGGTGGGAGGTATTGCTTCACAATCTGAAACTTCCAGATATCCAGCAAAACTTTCGTGACAGCAGGGGAGAGTAAATTCTGTGAGGCGGCGGTCCAACTCGATTCTGAACCGCTGGCTGCGCGCATGAGCGTGAGCGCGTCCGCGATCGCCTGATTGTACTTGCGCGTGGTGTTATCATGGCTGGCGTAGGTTTCGCCACTGGGGGATCGCGGGACGAGAATCGTCACGCCCGAGATGTCTTTGGTGCCGTCCAGCGCAAACAGGCGCTCCATCTGAACGTAATAAACGCCATTTGACTTCATGGTTGCTATCATCTCGCTCACGGGCAGCGCACGGGTGGCTGTGAGCATCTGGGCGAGCAGCGCCACCGCGCTTGTGACAAGCATCATTGCCGAGGAGGCGCCGAAAATCTGCAGGGAAAATGAACGTCTGGCCATCGCGGTTGTCTTTGAGCAGAAGCGCGTGCGGGGAATCCTTAGAGATAGTAATGAAATGAGGTTTTAGTACTTGGAAGAAGAGAGAGGGGGAAGGAGAGAGAGAGAGAGAGGAGGCGATTGCGGGAACGATGGATCTTGCGGGAGAAATTTGATGGGAAAGCAACGAAATGATGAGACCTTGTACTAGTAGCTCGGCGAGTTGTGGAGGGTGGAGGCATTATTTGATGCACTTGCACGATGCGCGAAGCATTTGCGACCAATCTCTTCGATTCGCGGCGAATTGCGTGCAGTGGACTAATAAAGAATCTTATTGAATTTTCGCCGCTGCTCGAAAATGTCAGCAGTGCACGGTTGCCCGCGCGGACCCCTCCACAGGTCGTTGACCCGAACAATACGGGCCAGCGCAACTGGTTCGGGAGGAGCTGGCCATTCACACAGCGGCACGTATTTGGCGGCCGCATTCCCGATTGGCCGTACGTCGTCATGCTGGCATTCCCTTGACTTTGACAAACTAGACCACAAGGATCTGCCTTACGAACCAACCCGGCTTAGCTGTCGTAAGGACGAGAAAGACTTGATATGAAAAACAGTTCAAATGAGCCATACAAATTATACACTCTACAACACATTCTAAGCAAGTCTAGATGGATCTCTAGCAAAGAAAGTTATCTAAAAAACTCCAAACGCTTGCAAAACCATGTAGAATGCATAACAGTTCGGAAAAGAGAAGCGGGTGGGCGAACGCACAGTAGGGACATGGCAGCAGACACTGCAGTAGAAGCCGCTGCAATCGCAGGTTGCAGTATATGAAGTGTCTGCCCTTGCAACTGCGACCTGAGGTGAAAAACGGAGTGGGAAGGCAAAAAGAGAAACAAAAAGTGGAAAACCAGGTATTTTATACGATCCATTCACGGCTCCCAAAAAAAGCAGGCGCAGAGATTTTTGGGGAGTAAACGTGTGTGTGTCTGTGAATGGAAGGGAAAGGTTTGGTTGGTGGTGGGTGTGTCTGTTCGTCTTTGTGTGAACGTGCAACACAGATAAGCAAGCACATGTTAGCATGAGGCACACATAATCAATCTAGCCACAAACAAACAACACAGCCAGCCAGCCACCCAGCCAGCCACCCAGCCACCCAGCATAACCCAGAGAGCCGCACCTGGAGTGGTGCGGTGACCAGCGTAACGTGCAAAGAGCAGCGCATCGTACTCGCCCCCTTCGGAGTAGTAGAAGCGGGAGAGGCTGGCACACCAACACAACCCGGAGAGCCACACCTGGAATCCAGTGGTAACCAGCCGTTGACGTAACGCGCGAAGAGCAGCGCATCGTACTCGCCCCCCTCTAGGTAGTAGAAGCACAGCGAGCGACAGAAACACACCTGGAGTCGGGCGGTGACCAGCCGTAATCGCCCCCCTCAAGGTAGTAGAAGCGCGAGAGGCTGGCACACAAACACAACCCAGAGAGCCGCACCTGGAGTCGGGCGGTGACCAGCCGTACTCGCCCCCCTCAAGGTAGTAGCAGCGCGAGAGACTAGCACACAAACACAACCCTGAGAGCCGCACCTGGAGTCGGGCGGTAACCAGCCGTACTCGCCCCCCTCAAGGTAGTAGAAGCGCGAGAGGCTAGCACACAAACACAACCCGGAGAGCCGCACCTGGAGTCGGGCGGTGACCAGCTGTACTCGCCCCCCCTCCAGGTAGTAGCAGCGCGAGAGGCTAGCACACAAACACAACCCAGAGAGCCACACCTGGAGTCAGGTGGTAACCAGCCGTTGACGTAACGCGCGAAGAGCAGCGCATCGTACTCGCCCCCCTCCAGGTAGTAGAAGCGCGAGAGGCGGCGGCGGTAGCAGAAGCGCAGTGAGCGAGACACACCTGGAGTCAGGTGGTAACCAGCCGTTGACGTAACGCGCATAGAGCAGCGCATCGTAATCCCCCCCTTCGAGATAGTAGAAGCGGGAGAGGCGGCGGCGGTAGCAGAATCACAACCCAGAGAGCCTACCTGGTGTCGGGCGGTAACCAGCCGTTGACGTAACCCGAGAAGAGTAATGCATCGTACTCGCCCCCCTCGAGATAGTAGAAGTGCGAGAGGCGGCGGCGGTAGCAGAATCACAGCCCAGAGAGACACACCTGGAGTCGGGTGGTAACCAGCCGTTGACTTAACGCGCAAAGAGCAGCGCATCGTAATCCCCCCCTTCGAGATAGTAGAAGCGGGAGAGGCGGCGGCGGTAGCAGAATCACAGCCCAGAAAGACACACCTGGAGTCGGGTGGTAACCAGCCGTTGACGTAGCGCGCGAAGAGCAGCGCATCGTACTCGCCCCCCTCAAGGTAGTAGAAGCGGGAGAGGCGGCGGCGGTAGCAGAAGCGCAGCGAGCGATAGAAGCGGATGGCGGGTGCGTTGTATGCGACCACGTGCAGGTAGATGGCGGCGCAGTGCGGGAGGGAGGCGGCGTGGGAGAGAAGGAGATGCACCAGGTGTGATGCTGTGGGGGAAGGGGTGTGGGAAGAGGAAGGAGAGGTGGTGGGTGGGGAGGGTGACGAAAGCATTTTTAGTAGCGAAGAGAGAGGGGAGTTGAAAGGGCAGGAGATAGGCGATGCAGCAAGAGGGATGGTGAGAGCGGCAGCAGAAGCGCAGCGAGCGATAGAAGCGGATGGCTGGTGCGTTGTATGCGACCACGTGCAGGTAGACGGCGGCGCAGTGCGGGAGGGAGGAGGCATGGGAGAGAAGGAGATGCACCAGGTGTGATGCTGTGGGGACGAGAAGAGGGGCAGGTGGTAGGATGGGAGGGGAGGGGTGACAAAAGCTTTTGAAGTAGCAGGCAGAGAGAGGAGGCGTGGAGAGAAGCAGATAAGAGATGCACCAAGTGGGATGCTGTGAGTGGAAGGGGACGAGGAGAGGTACACGATGGAAGGACGGCCAGATTGACAATTGCGATGCTGGGAATGACAATTGCGATGGTGGGAGTGAGGATGTAGACGAGAGACAAAGGAGAGGTCACCGGATCAATTCTTGAGGCGCCTCAAAAAGAGAGAATCTGAAGAAAGGCTATGCTTACCCACGCCAGCCTTGCGGTAGCGCTTGGAAACACCGAGCGTGAGAATGTAGAGGAGCGAGGGTGATGGAGTGTGGAGGGGCGATGGAGGAGTCAGAGGAAGCACGTCCGCGCCCTGAGTAGGGAGAGGGTGATGATGGGAGGGGGAGAGACAAGTGCAGGAGAGACGAGTGTGAGGGAGGCGAGTGTGTGGATGTAGAGGAGTGAGAGTGATGGGGTGTGGTGGGGCGACAGAGGAGTCAGAGGAAGCACGTCCGCCCTTTGAGAGGGAGATGGCGGGAGGGAGGGAGGTGAGTGTGAGGGAGAGCGTGTGAGGGAGAAGTGTATGAGGGAGAAGCGTGTGAGGGAGAAGTGTATGAGGGAGAAGCGAGTGGGGGAGGTGAAGGCAAGTAGAGAGAGAGGGGGGGATGCAGACAACACAGCAAGTTTTTGAATCGACTCAGGAACATAGTAGGCTGCACTCCCCCATGCTGCACACCCCCATGCTGCACACCCCCATGCTGCACTCCCCCATGCTGCACACCCCCATGCTGCACACCCCCATGCTGCACTCCCCCATGCTGCACACCCCCATGCTGCACACCCCCATGCTGCACTCCCCCATGCTGCAGACCCCCATGCTGCACACCCCCATGCTGCACTCCCCCATGCTGCAGACCCCCATGCTGCACTCCCCTCCCCCTTCTTTCCACACTGCACCTGTGCCTTTCCAGGCGGAACCAGGCATGCAGTGATGAACCCCACCCCGGTCAGGCTTGCAGGGGCCCACTGCGCCCCATGAGATTATGGCCCACACATGCACCCCATGCACCATCCCCATCCCCCCCTCCTCTCTCTCCCCCTTTTTCTCCATCCCCCCCGTGCCACACTGCGCCTGCGCCTCTGCAGGCGGCACGAGGCACGCAGTGATGAACCCGGCTGGCAAGGGTCCACCGCACCCCATGAGATGATGCCCCTGTGATGCACCCACCACCACCCATGCACACATCCGTAACCCTGATACGCCATGCGCCCTGCACGCACCTGCGCCTCGGCAGGCGGCACGAGGCGCGCAGTGATGAAGCCCACCAGCCGGTCCGGCTGGCAAGGGTCCACCGCACCCCACGAGATGATGCCCCGGTGGTGCACCACGTTGGAGTAGAACTCCGACTCGTACCTGATGGAATAGTGGGGAGGGGGAGATGGGGGGGAGAAAGGGAAGGGGGTGCGAGGCAGATTGGGTATGAACGGGGTAGCTTGCTGCTGGCAAGGGTCCACTGCACCCCACGAGATGATGCCCCAGTGGTGCACCACGTTGGAGTAGAACTCCGACTCGTACCTGATGGAATAGGGGGGAGGGGGAGATGGGGGCGCCAAGGAGAGCATATGGGGAGGTGAGTTTAGGTTCACCGCACCCCACGAGATGATGCCCCGATGGTGCACCACGTTGGAATAGAACTCTGACTCGTACCCGATGGGAAGGGAAGGAGGAGGCGAGGAAAGGGGGCGAGCGGAGGAGGGAAGGAGAGCTTAGGGCGAGGTGATGTCTGTCACACGATTTCTGTCTGTTAATTTTGCGACAGGAAGAGTCTTACGCGATGAGACCCGCCATGTCTTACACGTAAACGTGCCTTATCCGCCATGTCTCGTAGCGTAAGTTGCTCGCACGTTTATGTGTCCCGCCACGTGTTTATGGGTGGACACATAAACGTGCGACTTTTGAGTCGACTCAAAAGAGGTGACTTTTGAGTCGACTCAAAAGTCACGTCAGTAAGTTGGCTCGCACGTTCATGTGCCCCGCCACGTGTATATGGGTGGACACATAAACGTGCGAGCAACTTACGCTACGAGCAAGTGACAAAATGAGTTGACGAGTTGGTGAGTGAGTTGGCGAGTGAGTGAGAGTTCAAGGTGTGCAGAGTGTGTGGGAGGTCTTACGCGATGGGGAAGGTGGCTTCATGGAGGGCCTTGAGATCTGCCATGTCCGCAGGGCTGATGGCACGATAGGCCACACTGGGGAGTGAGATGGATGAGGAGGACGAGAAGGAGGAGGAGGAGGAGGAGGAGGAGGAGGAGGAGGAGGAGGAGGAGGAGGAGGAGGAGGAGGAGGAGGAGGAGGAGGAGGAGGAGGAGGAGGAGGAGGAGGAGGAGGGCGGCTGGGATAGTCCCTGCTGCTGCTGGTGCCGCTGGTGCTGACAGCATGTGCAGTGAGTGCAATGCTGGCAACAGCGATGCAAATCGTCATGTCGATTATTGGAATGTCTATGGTTGTCAGCGGCAGAGCTGGTGTGACTGTAACGAGAGGAAGGCTGCTGCGAGCCCGGTGCAGAGGAAACAGCAGGAGAGGGGACGGGCAGGAGGGGTGAGGAGAGGGGAGGGCGAAGAGAGGAGGAAAAAGAGGCTCGAGAAGAGGAGACGTGAGAGGGAGTAGGGTAAGCGGCAGGAGACAGCTTGTGGACAGGACGAGGGGAGCCAGGCCTTTGAGGTGCCTCAAAAGTGGGACGAGGGGAACCAGGACAAGGGCGAAAGGATTCAGGGCAAGGGCAAAGGAATTTAGGGCAGGGAAGTGAGTGGCATGGGCTCACACTATGGTTGCCTTGATGAGACTGTTGAGATGTCTCAACACAGGGATGGGCGACACAGGGATGGGATTGGTAGGCACGGGATTGACAGGAATGGGCGTGACATGTGTGGGGTTGCAAGGTGTGGGGTTGAAGGGTATGGGAATGACAGGTATGGGATTGAAGGGCGTGGGACTGGCAAGGATGCGGACATGGATGGTGCGTGCTGCTGCACTGACAGGCATTGTGCGACACATGGTGGGGCGGTGCAACTGGAGGGGCGGAATGAGAGCGGGCGGAATAGGAGGGGGCGGAATGAGAGGGGGTGTGAGTTGGGCATGCGGCAGCGAGGCAGCAGGGCAGAGGGGGAGTTAGCGGCGCTGGCGCTGGCGCAGTGGTGGTGGTGAGGGAGAGAGCGGGAACCACGGGCGGATGTGATAAGGAAAGGCCGGGATGGGATGGGTGGGTGGGAGTGGGAGTGGGGGAGAGGCTGCGGAGGTGGAGGAGACAGGAGGTGGACGCACACGAAAGGAGCTCTGCAGGAGAGGTGTGGGGGGGCGATGCACCTTGCATGCAACCACCATTCATTCCACCACCGTCCACCCCTCCACCATGCATCCCTGCTCCATTCAACACTGCACAGTTCACCCATGCGCCATTCATTCCTCCCCCATCCACCCCTGCACTGATCATCCCCCCACCATGCACCCCTAGAGGATCCGCCTCTAGAGTTCGCATCAGCGCCGCATCCCATCCCTCCGGGTGCCTGTGGAGGGACGGCGACAGCTCCGCCACGTGGCGCGCTGCCATTGGAGCGCCACCGCCATCAGCACTCTCCACAGTGTCAAAACTCGTCCCCCCTGAAGCACGCTGCTGCTGCTCTCTAGGCGCCTCAAAAGCCGTCTCTGTCTCCCCATAGGAACGCTCAAACTCCGGTTGAGAGTGCAACGGCAGGGCAGAGTACCCTTCTTGCTGCCTCTGCCAAGCACACCCCTGCGGGCCTGCTGCAGACCCCTCAGAACTTGCCCCCACTGAAGCATACTCCTGCTGCTCTAGAGGCGCCTCAAAGGCCGTCTCTCCGTACGAATGTTTTGAGGGCGGTAGAGAGGGCAGGGCAGAATAGATTCCCTGTGGCTGATGCAAGGGAGCATGCTCCTGTATCCTACTCCGCTGCGGTCCTTCTTGAGACGGTGCTTGCATCCCTATAGGCGGACGATCGTGAGATTGTTGTAACCCTGTTACACAAACCCTGATCTCAGGCGAACTGCATGCTGCATGGCGAACTGCTCCCCCCTCGCTTGTCCCCGCTATAGCATGAGTAGCTACACTACATCTTGTCTCTATACTGTTTCTAACACAGTTTTCTGTACTCCCTGAATCTCCCGGCGAGTCTGATAACCTAAGCCCTCTGGTCCTATCAGAAACCCAATCGATCTCGTATGAATATTCCCCATCCCTACCTCCCTCTCGTGCTCTACCACTCATGTGACCTTCATCTCCCTCCTTACCACCCACTCCAACCCCATTGCACCACGCATCACCCCTGTAAGAATCTGCCCCCGATTCATGCGTCCCCCCTCTCCCCGCGCGATCCCCCTCCTCACAGCAGCTGGTGAATTCGTTGGCGGGCCGCCACGCGCTGACGTCATTCCGCCGCATGCTGACGTGGCGGCTGCCATCCACCTGCCGGCTGAAAAGGGGTCGTCGTAAAGAAAGAAGTGAAATCATATTAGTGCGAAGGGGTATTTCGAGGTTTCTTGAAATCCGCAAAAACGAAGCGGAATGCTTCGCCTGCCTTCGTCTACTAGTTACACCGCATGTCGAACTTCGCAATCTGACCCTCCCGTTCGGAAACCGAGCCCACCTGCAGAACAGCGCCAGCACTACTCCTTCGCCTACTTCGCCTGGATGCTGTACCACTTCTTAAACTTGAGGAGTTAATCTAAAAAAATGTCCAGCTCAGACAACACGATAAGTACAACTTCTGTTGAAATACCAGCTGCGCCAGTTCTACTCCTTCGCCTCCTTCGTTTCTTTAGCTTCTTTCGCGTTCTTTGCCTGGATGTTGTACCGCTTGTTAAACTTTGCGATCTGCCCCTCCGTCTCCGCCTTCTTGCCCGGATCGCGGATGTAGAACGGACGGTCGGATTTGAACACCTGCGCGGACAGCACGCGCACAAGGCGGCCCTGCGGCGTGACGAGGCTGAGCCACTGCAAGGCGGGGTGGATTCCCTTCTTCATCGCACTCAGTACCGCCCGTCGCTTCCGGGCGACAACAAGAGTTATCAACTTAAGGTTCGACAACGTCCGTCACAAGACGGATCTCTGTGCACGAAGCGGGAACGAGCGAGGGGGACAAACACAGAGTTCCTGATAGCATCAGGAAGCAGATTATTGTCCCGTTTGGAGTTCCCGAGTAGGTTAGGTCAGGAGGAGTCAGGTCATAGGCTTGTCGGGTGTGACAAGTGTTTCTTTCCCAGCTGGCAACCCTTACGCACCAATCACATCACTCGGCATCTATGAACAAAAAACCTGCTCGAATTCGATGTTATTGTCATATCGCTGTGAGCACCGATCCCGCCATAGTGTAGTTGCTGCCGCGCCTACCAACAGGCACCATGGAGCGATTTGACCCGCGGGGGAGGTAAGCGGGAAGAAGACGGCTTCAGTCGTGACGGACACGCGCAGATGGTTCTGGGCCACCCGTTGCAAGGCGGAAGTGACCGTAGGAGCGTTGTGTGTTTCCATGCGATTATCGTAACATCGAGTGCAGATGCCTTTGGAGGGGGTATAGGGCATCCTATCTCCGCAGGGAAGGGAGCGAGTGAAAAGGCGAAAGAGAATGTCTCCTTGACGACTGGTCTGGTCCTTGAGAAAGGCATGAGTGAGGTCCGGTAATGAGGGTAAGGTGAAGGAGAGGGACTCGTTCCACCTATCGACGTGATCAAGGCGTTGCGGTGTGTAGAGAAGCTGCCGTATCGTGGCTAGCGACGGCCGTTGACGAAGTAGCTCGTGTCAGACCCCGAGCGCCGCTCCCGAGCAGAAGGTTCCCACCAGCCACTTCCCCATTACACACACCGTAATGACAGCTGCTGCTGGTAAGGTCTTGATTCCAAAAGGCGTCATGTTCACCTGTCTCCCCTGCGTCACTTCATGGCAGTCGAATTTAACACGTCCGTCATCCATGAACTGCTTGACACGTAGCACCTGTGGTCGATGGTCGGTCGGTGCTGCTTCGAAGGCCCAGTCGTTATTGCGTAGGTAGTCTGGGCGTGGTGTGAAATCGTAGAGCCCATCCCACCAGTCATCGGGAACCGCTTGGTATATAGCTAGCAGTATTCGCAGACCGCCTGGGTATTTTTTGGGCGGGTATATTGTCCGGAATTCGGACGGTGTCAGTTGCCGCGACCCCCCAGGAGCAGGCCGAATAAGGTCCAAGACGGATTTGTTTGTCTAACAAAAAGAATTCGTCTTTAACTCGGCCAAAAGGTTTCTCGTCAGGCTTATGAATGAACCTGTTAAAAGCCACTGGCTCAGCCATCAGGACCCATGGCTCCAATCGCGGCCTTGATATTTTTGCAGGAGCTTCCAGAATGCTTTTCAGCTCCGCAAGAACCCGAGGGGGAGTCGACTCAGGTAAATGTTTGAGTATCTCGGGGTGCGCGAGGTAGCAGTGCAGTCCGTAGGGAAGAGTGCAGCAATCCCGGGCGGTGTCCTCGTATGACAATATCTCCTACTCGAGTGTTGAAACCCTACACCGCATCCTGGCCCTTTTTCTCACCGCTTGTAAAACCTGTTTTTTCCACCGAGGCAAGGGCTCCAAGAAACAACGACGTGCCACTGCAAAACGGGTCCAAGCTGCCACCTGGCACAAACGGCTCCAATTCCTGCCCAACAGTTCCCCACAAATACACCCAGAACTTCGCGCCTCTTGGCTTCTCCACAGTCCCTTCCAACCGCCTTAAGCGCGGGCCTCAGTTACTTCATCCAACACAGAGCGGGCAGGAGACTCTCCTGTGTGTGAACTTAGTTCAGCTAAAGAATCGCTAAGTTTTAGCGTAGGCCTCTGGCTTGGGTTATCCTTGTTAGCCTCTGTGTTGTCTGGGTTACGACCTTAATAAAAACTTAAACTTCAAGCTTAAACTGCTCGAATTCGATGTTGTCACTAGGTTTCCCGCCTTCGCACCAAAAGCCCGCCAGAAAACCTTGGGAACAGCAGCACCTAGACAGACCTCAGAAAAAGTTTCAGACAGCCCTGAGAGCTCCGAGTCTTGGGGTGCATTCCTGGCTCGTGTCATACTTCCGGTCTTCCGGGGATGACACGAAGCTGGCCCACAGTTGGCCCCACTTTGTGTCATCCGAGACCCACTTCGGGTTTTCCGGCTAAATTTCGCCCCTTGTCTCGGAAAACACGAAGTTTGACCGGAAGTTTGACACGAGCCAAGAATGCACCCTTTGATTTGCAAATTCCTGGCTCCAACCAGCATCCCCCCACCCCACGCCACCCAGCTTTTTTGGGTTGCGTAGCAACTCTTTAGGGCGTGTCCTACATCTTCGTTTATAGTTCATATCGGCCTTTGTAACCCTGTTTTTGCTTTTGTAACCCTCAGTACTGGATTACTGTAGTCATCCGTCTTCAATGACGTGCAACATTGACGCGCTGAATGCGTCAGAAGGTTCGTATTGATAGCGTTCAAAATCAGCTTTCAATGTTCGTACTGTCACCCCGAACAGGTCCGCGTAACCCTAATTCCCGATCTCAGAAACCGCCCAGAAAAGACGAACGGCCAATTTTGGCACTGTCGTTTCGCAACCGGCCCAAGTTACTGCTCGCGAGCCATGTTGAATGTGATTCGGGATACGAGTTTTGTGTGAGCGGGGTGCTAAGTCCGCATGGCGCAACTTCGTTTGGAGCAGTGCTGATGTTATGAGTTGTACTAAGAAGAGTGCGCGGAAGACTTTATAAAAAGGATGTCAAATACAGAATGTCGAGAATGATAAAGATGCAAGCATTTATAGGGTCGAAACCGTGCTAGGCGAGGACCTCGGGACGTGGATGGGTTGGAAGTGTCGCGATTGGTGCGGAGCGACTCGTCGGTGGTTCGGTCCGAAGTGTAGGCCGAACCTCGAAACTGACGCGAAGTGCTCGGGGTTGTCCTCGCTAGAAACAGCCTCTACAGTAATGAATTCATATTCATTACACTCTCCCACCTTCTAAATAAGGTGCCCTTATACAAAGCCGAGTCTTGCAGTAGCGTGAAAACTGCAGATCTCGGTCGAAAACCGATCTGACGGTGCGGAAGCATGTTGACTTTCGAGTTGACGCGTGGCTGAGCGCGTTGACCAGGCGAATTTCAAAGAGTTGGGATGTCAGCCGTTGATACTGCCGATGTCAATCGGGCGGTTGAAAGCGAATGTCGATCTCAAATCGTTCGACGAGGAAGACCGTCGATGTCGCGGATGGTTCTGGTGAATGTCATGTCGGCGGGAAGTCTGACGCGTTGTCAGAGATCTATGAATCTGGTGCCGTCGATCTCGATGAAGCCATCGCGTGCGTCCGTCGTGCTGGGTGTGTCAGACGGACTGTCAGCAATAACTGCCGAAATGTCAGAGACCTGCCAAGAACAGTGCGTGGGCACTCTTTCTCCCCCCCTTGGGAACTGCTGCCCACCAAAATATGCACAGCCGCGCGGGCACAAAACCTCAACCACACTGACGCAGAATACCAAGTGTTATGACCTAGCCGCCTGAAATTCAGCCACTGAGCAGTCGAAATTGCTGTCGGTGGCGAAATCTCACTGTCGAAAACCCCGAAAATGCCTAAGGTAAATTCTGTTGAAGTCCCTTCGAAATAGTATCGTTTTTGCAGGAACTCGGCATGAAGAATTTCTTCGTTTTGTCTTGTTGGTACGACTGTTGCTGCACCATCTCTCGTGAGTGCCATCTCGAAAACCCCCGCGTGTCAGTATCGAATCACTTGTCTACTGCCCGATCTCCAGTTGGCAGCTGCTGCAATCCTGAAATTGCTGCCGTTTGTCTTGTTTGCAGGCGAAAATCCTCGCTGTAGCTTCTCCAGCTGTCGGTGCCCCCGGCAGTCTTGTCCACGCTCGCCGAGGCCCTTGTCGCGTTGCTCCGAAAACTCTCGGCCAGGGACGAAAACATCTGCTGCTCTTCCCCCTGACCTCGCCAATATTCTTTCAAACACGAACTTGAACTGCCGATGACATCAGCTGCATTATCGGTGTTTTCGTGACTCGCCGAAAACCTCCGAGCAGGGGCGAAAACAGCTGTCGCCTTCTCCCTGTCATAATGTTATCTTATGTCATAGTGGAGTGCTCTATAGCGAGTACAACCCTTCTAGGGTTTGCTATTTGTATCCTCATTCTTGCTAGTGCAATCCTCTTCTCTCTTCTAATTTTCACATGCTATCAGAGCAGGTCGATCCCCTTGGATCGATCCTGTGGGTGGGCATACCACCTCCTAGCTTCCGCTGCTACTACTTCACCTACTCTCTGAGCCGCACGCCCCGTGGCGTGCGGCATTTTTCTTTCCGCCGTGCGCCCCGAGGCGCGCGGCGGTTTTCTGCCCGCCGTGCGCCCCGAGGCGCGCGGCGGTTCTCTGCCCGCTGTACGCCCCGAGGCGCGCGACGGGCTTCTACCCCGTCACCCCCCGCGTCGCCCTCAGGAGGCGCCGCGACGGGCGACGGGGACCCGCGCGTCGCCCCCCGTCGCCCGTCGCGGCACGAGCGCGACCCGTACAAGCAGCGCGCGGCCCGTACGGGCTGCGCCAGGCCCGTACGGGCTGCGCCAGACCCGCGCGCGGCCCGTACGGGCTGCGCCAGGCCCGCGCGAGATCCGTACGGGCGGCGCCAGGCCCGCGCGCGGCCCGTATGGGGACGGCGCCAGGGCCGCGTGCGGCTCGGGCCGCCTGCGCGCGACTCGGGCGCGTGCCCTAGGCCCGTGGTGGGCCCGTTTCTCGTTTCCCTCGCCCTCCCCGCTGTTCCCCCATGCTTCTCCTGGCGTCCCACCCCTCCTACACCCCATTCTCCTGAATTAGGATTTGGGGGTGAGGGGTATGGGGGTGATCTTCCAGTGTGCCGTTCCCTGCTCCTCCTCCTCCTCCGTCTCCCTGTGCTGCAGCTGCCGCTGAGGGGGGGTGGATGTGTTGGAGCCGGTGGAGTGGTACTAAGGGGGGGGTGAAGGGGGAGTGGAGCTAGTGGTGTACCAGCGGGTGTGTGCCAG